CATCCAGCCATGTCACCCATTTATATTTGTGTTTATGATTATTCATCCCGAGGTATAGCACCTTACATTTGTTGGCATTAAACGTCATCCTGTTAGCACCAGTTCAGCTTTCTAATCTGTCAAAGTCCTTCTGAATGCACTCCTGTCCTCCAGTGTCTTTGCAGTCCTTCTCAGTTTCGTATCATCTGCAAACTTGCCCAAGAAGCTCTCAATCCCAACATCCACATCGTTAATAAACATGTTGAACAGCACTGACCCAGTACAGACCCTTGTGGGACTTCACTCAAGGCCTCATGCCATTCTGATGTGTAGCTATTAATAATTGCCCTTTGCTTGTGGCTATTGAGCCAGTTGTCTATCCACTTTTAAGTAGTTTTGTCCAGCCCGCATTTCTCCAGTTTGTCTATGACTTGAGAAGGTCCTGTGGAACCTTGTCAAAAGGCTTGCTGAAATCCAGATACAGTGTTTCCTTCATCCACCCAAGTAGCTCTTTTGTCAAAGAAGGAGTTCAAGTTAGATTGACACGGTTTGTTTTTCATAAATTCACGCTGGCTGCTTTTGATCAGCCATTCCTCCTCCAGATGCTTGCAAATGCGATATGTTCCAGTGACTTCCCAGGTATTGAGGTGAGGCTAAAACAGTCTAGTTCTCCAGGACCAACTTTATGCCTTTTTAGAGGGGCACTATATTGGCAATGGTGGTGGCAGCTATGGCCTTGACTCTGATCTGGTCCTGGGGCTGGAGCTGGAGCTAGGGTTATGGCCGGAGCTGTCACCACCTCAACTACTGGGCCAGAGCTAAAGCTGATCGGCAGGTGCCACGTGTGGAGACTAGTAGCAGGTGGGGACCAAGTGGGAGGGTGTAGGCACCTGTGGGAGCAGGCAGCAGGTGGATGTGCCAGAGGGGACAGACATGGGGGGGGCAAGGGTGGCAAGGTACACAAGCACTATGGGGGGGGTGCAGGGAGTGCAGGTGACAGGGGAGACACGTGGTTGAGGGAATAAGGAGTATAGTGGGCAAGAGGTAGAGGGGCAAGGGATGGGGCTCAGACTGTCTGTCCCCCGGTCACCTGTCCACCTGTTACTGTTTGCCGCCCTGGCTTTGCTTTCCCTGCTGCAGCAGTGGGGCAGGTGAATTGAAACAACCCAACAATAATTAACTCTATACATGGGAAGTTAGCACAACATAATTTTTCCATGTATAGCATCTCATTAGCGGGAGCTAGCCTTAAATTCAAAGTTGTCTTAGATTTGGGTAAATATGTTTCCCAGGGCTGCTAGCCTTGGGTTAGGAGCCTGCTCCCTGCACTGAGAGCAGATGTTTGACATTACCCGAGGTGCTAAAATCCTACTGAAGGCCAAGGTGTTGTTGCCAGGTTTTCAAATATTATGGTATTTGATGATTGGTTTTTTGTTTTGTTTTTTTTCTCATACAGCTCCAGCTCCTGGAATCACGTGATTATAAGACTCCATTTTCTTTTTCTTTTTAAAATATATTTCTAGCCATCCTGGTGACAGAAGGAAGCTTAAAAATTTGACTAGAAGGCCAAGAAAAAAGACTTAGATATATCCTATTCAAACCAGTCTCATGATTTTTGAACACCTGGGTTGGCATACTGCCAATGGATAGGAAGCACTTGGTCCCCTTTACAAATCGCAGCTGCGGATACAATGCCAGTTAAAGAAGTATCTTGCTTGGTTATTCAATTTAGACAATAACTTCCCTATTATTGGTCCTTCCTTTTTGTTCTTTTTTTAAAATATCAGCATTGACGATATCAGTCTTTAGCATGTTTATAAGAAAATTAAGGATATTCAGCTTCTGGTACATTTCAGGTTGACACAGCCCTTTTAAAGAAATCTTTGAAAGACCACCTATGCTCTTGGAATGGAGAGATGACTTTACAGCTACTAATGACAGTAAGATGCTAAGGGTAACATTTGTAGGACCTCTGAAAACTTCTTCAGCCAACTGTCTCTCCATACCTGCTCTCCTAGGCCTGATCTGCATTATACAGTTTTGTTGGCAGAACTCTGATCCAGCCTTCAAAATTTGTGAGTGCCTCCTCCCAGTTCCCTTGTGGCAGCAGAAGCCCTTTGAACTGCTGATAGACCAACAGCATCTTTCTGACTGCTAGCTTCTGCCACCACTTGACAGCCAGCAGAAGGTGTGTGCAGATGCTTTTGTTTCTGCTAACTGCTGTGGCCCTTGCTGGTGTGTATACATGCTCTTGTGGCTTCCCTATGAACAGACCTGGCATTAGAAGCAGCCTAGCACAGATTAACCCAAGTCATTGATTGAATGAAAGGAGTGTCCTTGTTGGGTGAGGTGCTGCCCAAGAATGTAGTGAAGCTGCCTATGACCCAAAGGGCTCATCAGTGCTCATCAACAGGCTGTGGAAGAACAAATTCTCAGCTGGTTAAGCAAGGGATGGTGTAAGAGGGCAGTGTTGTACCACTGCAAGGATGGGATATAAACCCTACAGAGGCTGTGTACCCAGTCTAGAATTTTTCTGTGTCCTCAATCTATGTTTAGGTCCTGCTGCTCCTCTATTTGGGTGGGCCTTACATGTATGTACAGCACTGCTGCAGCAGCTGCCACTAGGCTGTCAAGAGGGACTCATTTGGGAGCCCCTAGCTCAGGGGTGGGCAAAATGCAGCCCAGAGACCGGATGCAGCCTGCCAGGCCATTCTATCTGGCCCGCGGGGCCCCTAAAAAATTTAGAAAAATTAATATTTATCTGCACCTGGCGGCCTGTCATGCGGCCCTTGGTGGCTTACGAAAACTCAGTAAGCAGCCCTCCGCCAAAAATAATTGCCCACCCCTGCTGGCTGCTACTGATGAGCTACTATTCCTGTCGACTTCAGTGGGGAGACTGGTGCTGTAAGTTTCTGGCTTGATCATTGTTGTCATCATGCCTGTTACTCAGTCCTGTAACTTGGGTGTGGGCCTTTCTCCAGAGCCTCCAATCTAGGCAATGTCTATATTTTGCAGGTTTGGGACACCTCTCAGACAGGGTCTCTCTGCTCAGGCCTACAGTTGGGATTCTTCTCCAGGCTTTTGTCGTCTTCCTCATGATCAGAGATCTGGGTTTTCTGCTTTCCATGGGAAAACAGAGAAAACCACAGATTTTCCCCTTTATAGGAGGAAAACACAGATTTCTCATTTTACCAAAGAAACCTGTGGATTTTGCAGTTTTGCAAAGAGCTCTCTGCAGGCGGGCAGAGGTCCAGCCTGCAGGGGGCTGGGAGGAAGCGGGAAGAGGGCAGTCAGGCAGGGGGTGCACATGGCCCCAGGCAGCTTGGAGACCAGCTCCCACAGGTAAGGAGGCAGGGTGGGATTGAGGCCCCCATAGGGAGGGAGGGAGTTGGGTAGGGCTGGGACTGCGGCCTAGTTGGGCAGTGCATGTGGCTTGGGGCCTGGGGCCACAATGCATGGCTGTAGGGCCTCAGTGGGGAGTGGGACAGGGCCACAGGTGGTTCGTTCAGGGAGTGGGGTGGGGAGGGTGGAGGGGCTGGCCCCCTGCTGCTCTGCATACTCCGAGGGGCAAGGGGGACCTATACCACCCAGATTTGTGTGCAGGGCTGGGTGAGGATGGGCTGCCTGCTGTGGGCTTGGGTTCCTGCCCTGCTGCCCTCCCTCGGGTCCTCCTCAGCCCAGCGGGTGTGATTCAGCACTGCAGGGCACAGCGGGGCCATGCAGAGAAGTTAATTGCTGCTGCGAGCTCCACGCTGCCATGGCGAGGCATCCCCTGTGCACACGGCAGCAGCAGGTATGGCAGCACAGGGTTGTGCCTTGCCAGGGCAGCATGAAGCTCGCAGCAGCAAGCGGCCTCCCTTTGTGGCCCTACTGAGCTATGCAGTGCTGGGTCACACCCACTGGGCTATGGAGGCCCTGGGGGAGGGCAGCAGGATGGGAGCTTGAGCCCACAGCAGGCAGCCTGCACCTGCCCCCGCCCTGCACACAGATCTGGCTTGGGGGGCACAGGTCTGGCCCCATAGCCCTGGCAGCTGGGGGCTCCCTCCAGCAGGGTTGGGGGGTGCAGGGGGCTGTGGGTGGGGGCAGGGGCACCAGCAGGGCCAGGGGACTGTGTGGTGGGGGAGTGAGGGGCACCAGTAGGGCCAGGGGGGAGTGAGGAGCCAGGCCCTGTCCCACTATTTATCCAGTAGGCAGCTACTAAGATAACTGTCCAAGCTTATCCCTCTGACCATATTGTTGTTTATCCCTCCTTTCTCTGGCTTATCACACAGAAGTTCCCTGTCTTTGTTCTCCAGGTCCTATCCAAGCCCGACCTATTCTTTTCCATTTGGCATCAAGAAGTTATTTTTTGCCTCTTAGTCTGTGATGCTAGTGTCCCTTGCCCACCTGTTATACTATCAGCCAAGCACCTTCATGCTTTCTCCTGTGCTGCTTTTCATAGTCCTCAGTAAACATCAGCAAAAGAAATCTTTTTGAGAACCCTCTGTACAATCCTGGGCATAGTGTGATGGCTGGAAAAAGACTACAGGCCAGTCCCTGATGCACCAAGACCATGGCCAGTTATGCTGACCTGTATTACCTCATTGTTCCCTAGTGTCCCCTTTCCCACAGCTTATCTGTGTCCATCAGTTGTTGTTATGCTAAGATGGTGAGTCACTGGGGAAAGGCATTGTTCTCTTGTTCTGTATTTGCAAACACCAAGGACTCCAGTCCAGCACGAGGACTCATCATAGGTTACAGTTACAGATAAATGACATAGCATCTTACTGCTCACCTCTTTGAACAAAGAGACCATAATCTGACCCTGCCTTGAAAGCAGCTCGTGAATTTCTAGGCACAATGTTGTAATAGATGAAGCCAATGATGATCCCCAACAATGGGCATTTTACATGCATGGATGGGTTTCCAGGGTAGGGTATGCCAGGCAGCAGAGTGAACAAAACTAGATTTCTAATCAGATTTTTTTCTTCCAAACCCCATAATTACAAGAAAAAATGCCTTTCCTCTCCTCTCCCCTGCAGGTCATCATGCTGAAGAATGACATCCACCACTGTAAAGCCTCAGGGATATTTCTCCGCCTGTCAGCAGGAGGTCTGATTGCAGACAATAACATCCATTCTAACTGTGAGGCTGGGGTGGACATTCGGAAAGGAGCCAACCCTCTGATACTGGTATGTGTGTGTCCTTGGTTCAGCTCTGCTTGGTACCAAACACTCCCACTACATTCCTGTCCAAATTGCACTAGAGATTTACCCTCACTTTAGTGCAGCTTATTTGTCCTCAGGGTAGCCCTTCTAGGTTTATAATGAACTTAACCTCAAAATATTTTGTTTCAGAGACCTCCTGATGGGAAATCAGGTTTCATTAAACACTGAAATTACTTCTAGAGACAAATGTGCTATTGGTCTGTTTAAATGATCCCCAAATGATCCCTGACCTTAGAACTGCATGATTATGTAAGGAGCTACATGCCAGGTGTAGGAAGACGATCTTCCTTCTAAATGTATGTTAAACAAGCAGCCATACATTTCAGATGATTGCATCTGCGCTGAAATGATAATGATCTTGTGGCTGCCTACAGCCTTATCAGGGACCACCAGCAGGGACTCGGGGAAAGTCTGTTCACCAGGGCTCCCCTTGAAGTCACCAGGAACAATGGCCACAAGCTGAGGGACGATAGGTTTAGGTTAGATATTAGGAAGAACTACTTCAAGGTAAGGGTGGCCAGAGCCTGGAATAGGCTTCCCAGAGAGGTGGTGCTCTCACTTTCCCTGGAGATCTTCAAGAGGAGACTGGATAGGCACCTGGCTGGGGTCTTATAACCCCTGCCACCCCCAGTGCTCCTTCCTGCCCATGGCAGGGGGTCAGACTCGATGATCTGTCTAGGTCCCTTCCGACTCATTGATTCTATGATAAATTCGTGATAAACGATAAATCTGTGATGAAATGATAAATCATAGGCAGGCAATAACTTGTGTTGATTATGAAACTCTGATCAGGTCGCCTGCTGTAAACCCACCTGTCCCTCTGTGCTGGGGCTCAATTTCACATTTCAAGCTTCCACGGAGCCACCACTAGAAAAAAGCAACTCAACAGCCTGCCACGTAATAATTTATCCCACAAATATGAACTTTCCTACCTAAGACTGCAGCTGCTCTAGTCCCAGGACAGGCAATATTTTTATTGTGTTATTGCATCCTATTATTACAGTAGTGCTCAAAGAATTAACTCAAGAGATGGGATCTCAGTAGATTTGGAGGTGTACAAACAGAGATCATAGAGTTACAGCCTAAATTAAACTCTCCCAGGTGACCCTGGCCCACATTGCAGGTTGAGAAATAGCCTTGTACTAGTTTCAAGCCCAGTTATTTGCAGCTGGAAGCAGGAACCCTATCAAGACTGGAAGAGCTTAGTTGCTAGCAGCTCTCATGGGTCTTATCTGGGGAGAGAGGAAACCTCAACTGTTCCCACTAGGAGTTGACAGGTGCCCAAGCATTTTTGAAAATCCTTTATGCTGTCTGCCTGAGGTCCCTCACAGACCTGACTCTTAATGCTTCTCATGTAGTAACCACTCCTTCAGTACTGAGAAGGAAGGGGAAGGAGGAGGTGGCTGGGACCAGAAAATCAGGGGCAGCCAAAGAAAACAAGTTGCTCTATGGGAGCTCCTGGAAGCGTGAGCAGATCAGGATGATCTGTGCAACATTCTTAAGGCCATGGAGAAGCACAATATTACTGCAAGGCAATCAGGCAGCTAAAGGGGATGCTTGGGTGGTGTTTCCCGTTAGAATGATTCTGTCTTGCATTTTGCTTTATTCGAACACAGTCCTGATGTGTTCTGCGTTATTTTATGATTTTTCAGTTTGAGGAGCCCTGAGGGGTTGTTATATGGAGCAAGCTGGAAGACTGATTCTGCCATATGGGCCTTTTTTGTTCTGCTTCCCCAGTTCCTTTGAGTTCTTCCTCCCGCCTCTACCACTGAGAAATTCTGGCCCTGTTCTGCTGAAGGCAGAGTGGAGCCATGATTGCTTAAATAGCAGCAACTCTGCATGCCTGGGCAGTGAGTGACAGCCCCATAGAGATATGGGAGGAGTGTAGAAGTGTGTGTAGGGTCTCCTTGAACCAAACAAAATCACTTTGATTTAGCTTTGTGGGACTTAAGGGAGGGACTCCAGCCTGAGTTAGGGAATACCGAGGGGTCACCGCTCTTGTTCCTATCAGGAGTGACCAGCGTTCTTTTTCGTCTCTGGCTGTTGAGCAGGCTGCAGCCTGCACCCAATTGACACTTCAAAGAGTGACTACAGGGCATAGAAGCCTACTTGTGAGTCTCAAAAAGCAGGTTATGGGTAGACATGGAGACTGTGAGACCAGTCTCATCTCAGGCCTTCTAGGGGCACTAAGGCAGGTGCCTCTTCAGTATTGCTGCAGGACTTCTAGAGATGGGGCTGAGATGGCAGTCATACCCTGTATCTTTCAACAGGCACTAAAATCACCAGGGAAGTTGAGTTGAACACAAATGTGATCCATTAAAGGTGTTTGTGTTTTTGTAACCTCCTGGTAACTGGATTGATTGTCTGTCTCTCTCTCTTTGCCGTGTCATGTCTGTGGAAGCTGTTCAGCTCCAGGCTGCTGCTTACTCTTGTTGACTTGTCTGAGTGATTTCTCTCTCTCTCCTGTTTTGCCTTTATTCTCTCCACATGTGCATACATAAAACTGCAGTGTAATAAGATACACAGTGGCCTTCGCTCAGGCATCGTTGTCCTTGGCAACGGAAAAGGCATCATCCGTAGCAATCAGATCTATGGGAATAAAGAAGCCGGCATTTATATCCTGTATAATGGAAACCCCATAGTGAGGTATGTTAGTAAGCAATGATCTCTCTCTCTCTCTCTCTCTCTCTCTCTATATATATATATATCCCCCACTCTTCTCCCCATTTTCAATTTTCCCTCCCATCTTCTGTTTTGCATATGTGAACCTTTTTTCTTGCTTTAAGGAGCAGAAGTCTGACTACCAGGTGCACAGGGACCCTTCTGTTGCCCCTGTGCCAGCATTTAATTCGTTTCCAGGGGAAAAGGAACTCTATCAAGGCTGCACTGTTCATCCTGTGTGCAGTGGACACAGCATTTGCTGGTGGGCATAGAGTATATGATGCCCATTCCAGTTTGTCTCTCTGCTTTAATGTATGGACAGCAAGCAGTTTATTTTTTGTTCTTTTGATCTGTCCTTCTGCCTTGGACAGATCATTTTAAGTATATCAGATGCTGTCAGGATTCCTTCACACTAACAAAACTTCCCTGGTCTGTTCCTTGTCTGAGGAAGTGTTTCAGGTGAATGACTGTGCCCAGCCTAGCATCCTGCATGTGCTGCCTTCTGAGGAGTGTCTCTGGCACAAAAAGAACAAATTAGTTCCTTGGGGGCGTTGGTGGCATGTAGGGGGTGCACGCAGGTGCACATCAACAATTGCCACCCCCCCCACCGATGCTGCCGATCACCCCAAAAGTCCATCACTTGTGTCCCACAGACCTATCTTTTCAGTTTCTTTTGGCTCTTTCTTACGCCCAGAAACATAACCATGGCAGAAGTGGGTTTTATTAGTAATGGAAGCTGGAGAGACACCATTCCTCCTCCCTTCCCTCCCTTGACAAAAGCAGTCTTTTACTCTGTGATAGGAATGTCCCTCTTCTGTGGGGCTTGTTAGTTATGTCCTTGGGGTCGCATATGTGATGGTCAGCCAGTACCTAGATCTCTCTTGTACATGGGAAGTAAGGTAGATGGATGCTGGAAGTAGTGTCTGGTTCCTTCATGTCACCTAATGTGGGTGGTCCCCTCGCCAGAGGAGGGGGAAGGGATGTTGCCCTCTCTTTGGCTAATGTGGGTCTCTCTTATCAGGAGCTATATATGAGGGCAACACCCTTTCCCCTTCCCCTGGCAAAGGGGCTATCCACACTGGGTGATACGAAGAGACCAGGCACTACCGTCGTCATCCATCAGTTCTGCTTCTCATGTAAACAGCTCCTGATAAGTCATCCACATGAGCTGAAAAGACTGGCCCAGGGGCTTAAATCTGACCTTACTGTTCTCCCTGGTTGCAAGAGGATGTGGGCCTGATACATTCCTGGGGTAGGTGGGGGATGGATCCAGATGACAGTTGAGAAAGTAGTGGCAGCATGCATCTATAGGAGACCAGTACCTGTGACACACCAGTTCCAGCACAAGGTGCCCCCTCCACCCCTTCCTTCAGCCCTTGGGTAAAGGAGGACTGGGCACTTTCAGCTGTGGGGTTCCAGTGCTGCTGAAATGAGGAGTGCAGTCCACCACATTTTAAGGCATGAAATATGTGGAGGAAAACAAAGGCTCAGAGGGTCCATCCCATCCAAATTGTATTTCTTTCTGACCAAGTCATCCTAAACCTTCATTTTCCTGAGAATAAATTGAAAGCCACCCAGCTCACTGCATGAGCCCTCTTTTGAGATTTTTACTGCAGAGTTTCACCCTGATGTCCTCAGTTAGAAATGTTCCTACCTCAGGCTGTTGTGGTGGTTGGTTGATGTCTTTGCACCCAGATATGACTGCATTTATTTTATCTGTATTTCTGTAAGGCCTAAGGGCCAGCTGAGCCAGCTAAGATGAGAGCCCCATTGTGCCACCCACCCATGCACATATACTTAAGGAGTGAAGGTCCTACTTGTGAAGAGCTCCCACTGTGTATAAATGCAGAAAAAAATTAATATTCCCATTGTATGGACCAGGAAGAGAGAAACAGATTTGTACAGAGGGACAGGCTGGAGACTTGAACCCTTGTCACTTAAGTAGCAGTCTTTTGTCTTAACTGCAAAGCCATCCTTTGTTTTGTCTCATTGATACACAAGGGCCATCATTTGTAAAGTGTCCCAAGATGAACATGGGCTGTACAAATGCAAAATGTTAGTATAGTTATCATTGCTGAATAAGTGGCTGCAGCTCTTTTATTTGCCATCATTAGTTGACATCATTAGTTTAATGATGCAGCTCTTTTATTTGACATCGTTAGTTTAATGATGTCAAACTACCTTTTAGTGATTTGTTTTTCTTACTAAATGGAAGTAATAATAATACTTTACATTAATGTAAGGTACTTTTCCATTGAAAGGAACCCAAATTGCATTATAGGGTACAGGTAGATAGATATAACAGTTGTACCAACTTCAAAGGATATGAGTATGAGCTGTTATAATGTACCTTGTCATGTTGGCTAGCTCCTGTAGTGATGCAAGTGTGGCAGAACCATTGCAACTTTAACCATTTCACTCACAGTTAGTTACAGTAATTTAGCTCACTCCTTTTTTTTAAAGCAATTAAAAGTTATGTTAGTTCATAGCTCCAAGCTTTCTTTATCTGCTGCTGAAATGCAGCTGCTTCTGGAGTGGAAAGGAGCAAGAAATAACTCAGTGATGTTACACAGCAACTTAAAGCAGAGGCATAACTAGCTGATTTCACGCTCTTGGCAAAACTCTGCCCAGGAGAGAGTGCTGAAATCTGGGCAAAACGTATGGGGGTGGGGAAGTGGAAGGGGAGGGGTGTCAGTTGTACCTGAGTAGTGAAAGGCTCAAACAGCTGCTGGTGTAGAGCAGTCTGCCTATGCCTGGCACCTTTTTCACCTGCACCAAATTATGCCACTGGTTTAAGGTATGAGAAAGAAGATGTTGTTTAGAATTGTAACTGCACGGAGCATGTAGTAGATCAAAAGTGATTGCCCACACTAAAAATAATGCATAATTATTAGTACTTTAAGCCCAAATGCTGCAGGCCCTTATTTAAGTGACTTCTCATTAGTGCATAGTTTATGCCAAGTGGTGGATTCCAAGTGTTCTTAAAAGCCTCTTATGTCAATGCTTAAGTATTGGTTTCAGACCACTTGTTCCAAGATCAGAGCTAGAAATGACAAATCTGAAACAGATTTGCCAGGGTCAAGAGGAGATTTCTTTATTAAGGGATAACAAAAGTGCTCCATCAGACAAGGAACAGTTTCTAAGACAGAGCTGTCTTCTGTATGATATATAACTAACAAGTCTGGAAAAAGACAATGAAGAGCAGATGATTCATTGTACAACTTCCATTCTGACCTTGGTCACAATGTCAGTAGTAGCCTTCCAAAGTACCATACTGATACCTTGTAATCCAGAGCTATCAAGATTAGTTGACATTGCAGAATAGGAAAGGGTGGAATGAACAGGCAGGGATAATTTACTGTGGGGTTCCATTAGGGGAAGGAAATGTATTATGTATAAGGTATCATTGTTTTCCTAATCGCTGCTGATTGACATATTTGAATGTAGAAGTATTCCCCATTTTGCCCCCATCAGTTCATCAGCACTCTTGCGAGTCCAGGCTTTGGATGCACTCCCTTGATTACTAGCCCTGTCACTCTGTGCTACTCTCACTATGCCTTAGCACACTGCACTCTCATTCATGGTTCTTGTCACCTAACTCACTAACCCAGCCCTGTCCCCATGGAGACACAGATATATCAAGAACAATCTGAGTGGTTTGGTAATTGGCTGAGGGAGATACACAAATGTATATTGCAAATCCATGGACTGCCATACTGGCTGTGTCCAAGCTTCCAGATACTAAACACCCCTATCATGTGTCTAAGCACCTGCAGGTAGACATGGATAAAAGTAGACAGTGGTTTGTATATAAAGTACCTTCTCTCCCCATTCTCTGGTGACACCTTCCCCCCATTTGATGAAAGTTGTTTTTGCCCTTTTCTGAGGCCCACAAACCCAGCTGCTCAGTGGTCCTAGCAGCCATCTTTTGCACCAGGGCCAGTGGGATGAAGTTTACTGTTAAGTCCCTGGTAAGGTCTGAGCTACATTTTTCAAAAGTACGTAAGTCACTTAGGAGCTGAAGTCTCATTTTCAAAGTGATTTAGGCACTTAGGGCCCTAGTTTCACTAGAAGGCTCTTAAGGGTTATGTCACTTTTGAAACAAGATTTTGGTTCCTAAATGAGCTAGACAGAGATTGTTAATTGTACTTAGGTGTAACTTAACTCAGCATTATAAAGCCTAAACTCCATTTGCATGACTTGAGATCCAGATTAACTGAGGCACTTTTGATAATGGGATTTAGTTTCTAAACCACTTATGATGATGCTTATCCCAGTTGGTGAACTCAGCTGCTTTTAAACACTATGGACCTTGAAAACAAGACATAAGTGATTCAGTGCCACCAGACTGCACCACAGCTCTTCACTTTTGATTCAGTCATCAACAGAAAACTGTCCAAGAGGATATACCCTCTGGGACAGTCAGCATTAGATGCTAGAAGGGTTAGGGGGTGGGGTCATTTGAACACCTGAAGTGCCATTTAGACATATCTCCTAGGCATTGAGCTTTGGAACAGTGACCCCTATGGACCTGTAAATATACGGAGAGCACGATGCAACAGGAGTGTATAGGATTTTAATTGTGGAGCACTGTATTATGTTTTCAGCTTTCAGTATGTTCCTCACTGTGCTCCTATTGTGCTCATGGAACAATGCTGGTTTCCTCTGGCTGTCAAAATGAGCAATCCAACTAAGCATTAAGGTGTAATTGAGCACTGAAAATTTGCCTTAAATTCAGGCGGTACAGTCGCAAGCAATAAAAGATCCACCTGCATTCAATGGAAAACAGCATATCAACCAGAGATAAGCCACTAGGGAAATGTTTGCTTGTGGGCTGGATTTTCACACTAGGGTCAGCTCTTCAGTGAATCTCTCTTTCACCTTTGTCATTAGGGCAGATCCTATGCAATGGTTTGAAATATATTACCCCTCATGATTTGAGGAGTTTGCTGGAAATGTAGGATTTCTCCTGGGTTGTTCCAGAT